CCCAAATTGGAACAAGAGATTGGTTAAAGAGGCAGATACCAGATAAATTCCAGTTTAGGGGAATAGAAATTCATTTTCTGATTCAACCTGTGCTGCCTGGGTAGCCAAAGTGCAAACCAGCCTTCAAAGCCAGCTAGCTTTTTTTCTCCCCCCTCTCCCCCCCCGTGAGAAACCTGGAGAACAAGCTGTGAAGGCCAGAGGCTTTAGCAGGAGTTTGAATAAAGTGAGGCAAAAATGCTTTCAAGGTAGCTGCCATCAGTGCATGCCTTATGGTAGGGGGGCTTCTCTCTACTATATTCCCCTGGTCCTTTCCAATTAAGGTGAACTTAACCTCAGTTTGTCTGTCTAAATGCCAGGAATCTCAAAAGGAGCTGTCTCAGCTGGTAGAACACCCAGTGAGGGGGGACGGGGCTGCTGTCAGTGCCCCCACTGACTGTAAAGGGAGCAGACAACTCCTCCCAGCCACTCTCAAACACTCAGTTTAAAGAAGAAATAAACTGATGAACAATATATATCTCCAGCTGACAGAGGAAGTCTAGCTAAATTTTCAAAGAAAAACGAAATTGAACTAGAGGCCGCTAATAATAGCACTTCCCCATTTCTGTCTTAATATCCCTTTTCCCATGATGCTCCAAGGCAAAAAACAGCACTGCTAGAAAATGACGGCTTCTGGAAAAGCAATTGTTTCTCACCAAGAGTGAAATGAATGTTGAATGCCTTGCTGAGTGCTCTTCACAAGGGCAGGGATGACTTTAAACTGTAGGATGTGTTTTTCCTCTGTTCCTATTTGTCCTGACAACAGAAACTAAGGTAATTTCCATCTTTCAGCCAACTTCTGCTCTCACTTGTACCATTATATACATACTGAAAACAGTTGCATGTTTTGTATTTCATGTGTGATGCTAACATGTTCTTAGCCTGTTGATTCAATTGCATCAATTTTTTATCTCCTTTGCATATGTCTTAACTGAAAATCCATGCACAGCATTTCTCATCTGTAGAGTAGAAAGCGGGGGAGGTAAAATACAACAGAGAAAAAATACAGGTTCTGATACCAGGAGTTTTTTACTGAATCTGAAGGAAGAAGGAAAAGATCCAAGTGCCTTATCTTCCCACAAGGCGCTCCTTCCCATCACTGACCTGATGGAGGGCTGCCCAGCTGGTACAAACATAATATCAAAGCACATACTTAGTCCTGACCAGCCATCCAGGAGGTCTGGTGATTTCTAGGCTGGAGCCTCCATCTGTAATTGCTTGGAGCCTGCACCAGGCGACACAGCACAGCATGCTGCATCGCATAGATCAAGCCTGCAGTGCAAAGCTATGTTCACCCTGAGGACAATGAGCCATATCTGAGGGCAGGTTAGCAGCGAGATCCTCCATCAAGGTCTCACCTGCACTGGGAGCACTGGCCGGCAGCGTGAACAATGGTGGTGCCACACCTGCAGTGCCTGACACTGCAGCAAACAGGAGAGGAGCCGGATCGCACTATTTCAGATTCCTCAGTGGACAGGAGGTGAAGAGGAAAGCTGAGGACGCCATCCTGGGAAAGGTGCAATAGCTGAGGGAGGAAGAGCAACAGCTGAGGTAAGCGGAGGCTTCGCGTCCTCTCTAAGAGCAAGCCAGGGAGACGATGCGACCTGACAAGGACAAGGCACCTGGGAGTCAGTGGGTGCTTGGACACTGAGGAGCTGAATGTGGTGGTGGATGCTGCGGTGCACCTTGGCCTCCCCAGGCTCCTTGGATGCCAAGGTGGTGAGCTCTTGCAGCAGGGACTACGCCTCACCATGTAGTTTTGTGCAGGCACGTTGGTGGCCCTCAAGTTCATCTGTCTGCGGACAGAGTGTCTTTCTCTGCTCAAATGGGGGCTGTCCAGATTTATGGCTTTGGCAGCAACACCGAGGGGGAAATCGAAGACAGATAAATGAACTTGTTTTGTGAGCTAGGGCATTAGCCGGGAGCTAATCTTGCAGCACTAAGAAGCAACCAAGAACGAGATACTTTACAGAAGCATTTTTCTACTTTCTCTGGACATGCTGAGCACAAAATCAGAGGGAGGACACCTGGCCCCATGCAGCAGTTCCTCTGGCTCCTCCCAGAGAGCAAGGCAGAGACTTTTGAGTCAGGTGGGTAAGATACCACGGCACAGGGAGGTCTGGAGATGGACATGGCAGGAGTTCCTGGCAGGGTTTCCAGTCTTAGCTATGTGCCTGCCTGACTCGAGTGCTTGCACACTCAGCATCAGTGCTCTCAGGAAAAATGGACACAGGAAAATGGAGACTGTTTGGACTGTAGAAACAGTTTACCACCTCACCTGTGAAGAAAATAGATGGGTTCATATCCTTTTTTAATTTGGGACTTGACTGTCATCTGACATAATCTCCAAATACCTTTGCAAAATGGCACTTTCTGCCTTGCAAGCGTTGCTCAGCTCCTGACAGCGAGCAGGAGGGTGAGCAATGTTCCCCAGCAGGTACCTGGCTCTCTAACCACTGCCTGCCCTTCAGCAGGGGTGTGAAGAGAAGAATAACGTGGCGGGGCTGAGGGACAGGATGTGTGCTGGTCAGAATAATTCCCAGGCAGAGGCAGGGATCGGGGCCGAGGTCTTTGCAAGAAGGTCCCTGTGTTGGGGGCCAGCAGTAGTTGCAGCAGAGGCAAGGAGCAGCCCGGCTAGCTGTGTAGCTGCTGGTGGGTGGGCAGTCCTGCCCGGGGGCTTGCTGGCACTGGGCTGCCAGCATGGGAGGAGAGCGTGAGCGGTGAAGGCAGTGGTCAGCACTGTCATCTCATTGGCCTGGTTTCAGCTGGGATAGAGTTAATTCTCTTCCTAGTAGCTGGTACAGTATCGTGTTTTGGATTTAGTGTGAGAAGAATGTTGATAACACAATGACGTTTTCAGTTGTTGCTAAGTAGTGTTTAGACTAAGTCAAGGATTTTTCAGCTTCTCATGCCCAGCCAGCGAGAAAGCTGGAGGGGCACAAGAAGTTGGGAGAGGACACAGCCAGGACAGCTGACCCAAAATGGCCAAAGGGGTATTCCATAGCATGTGACATCATGTCCAGTATATAAACTGGGGGGAGTTGGCCTGGTGGGTGCAGATCACTGCTCGGGAACTAACTGGGCATTGGTCAGCGAGTGCTGAGCAATTGTGTTGTGCATCACTTGTATATTCCAATCCTTTTATTATTATTATTATCATTTTATTATTGTTATTATCATCATTATTAGTTTCTTCCTTTCTGTTTTGTTAAACTGTTCTTATCTCAACCCATGAGTTTTACCTTTTTTTCGCCCCATTTTCTCCCCCATCCCACTGGGTGAGGGGGGAGTGAGTGAGCTGCTGCATGGTGCTTTGTTGCTGGCTGGGGTTAAACCATGACACTCATCCATGGAGAACCTTTACTCTTTGCAAAGAGGCCCCTCTGCTCCCTTGGGACAGCTGCTAAGGAGGAGCGGTGCCTCCAAGCCGAGCTGAAACGGGACACGATGGTGGTCAAGACCTCAGTCTAACCCATGCGTTGCTTAAGTGTCATCTGTACCGTCAAGTAAAAGCAGAGGGGATGGCTGCCTGGGCAGGGACTTGTCCTGCATGCCTGAAGATGGCAGCATGGTACAGACTAAGGGCCGCAAGCACACTTTCCAGTCAGGACTGTGACTGCTGATGAACGTGACAGGGCCCCTTGCTGTCACAGTGCTAATTAATCCCACACAGCCCTCGCCTCCAAAACTGGGTGACCACATCCCAACAGATAGCTGGTCCCTGGCCTGTGCCTCGCTCTGGCTGACCTGAACCTCCTCCCCCCATGGCTGGCATTAAAGGCAGCGCTCCCGGGCATGCGTTCCTGGTGTAGACATAACCCTCCTGATCGCCAAAGGCAGCGTGTCTTTTCCTGGCCATGGTGGGCAAATTCTGCCTTCGCTAATCCAAAAAAGGAAAATGTCATCGGCACAATTTTGGCCCGAGTCGTGGAGTTTCTTTCTTGCAACTGTACTTCCAAAGAAATCAGTGGCAGGCCTCTCACTGGCTTCAGTCATATCAGGATCCACACACGATGCCTTCATCCAGGATAATGTTAATTTAGACCCCAAAACATTGGTTGGAGTCATTACTGATTTTTCTATACCTATTTTTTAGCTTAATTTCATAAAGAAATGAGGCAACTGTGACCATGTATGTTCACCTGACTGTATGTTGTCTTCCAAGCCCCAGTAACTTTTGATACTGTTGGCCAGTTTCAACCAACCACCCAGTTGGGATTAAACTCCTACCTGCAGGCAGGCAGAGGGCAGCATCCCCCAGCAAAGGGGTCTGATGTGAATTCTGTTCCTGTCCTGTCCTTGAGAATTGGCACACCACAGAGATGCATGGAGCACCCAACATGGGGATGCTTCCACCACAGCTTGGAGATCTTTAGATGTCAAGCAACCTCAAGACGAAAATCTGTAAGAAACACGGCTTTTCCCATTCTTAGTGCTTACGCTTGTTGATACTGGTACTGCTCAGCTTTTTAAGTTTATGCAGTGCTGAACCTTGGTGACAAAGAATCATATATATGGTGAAGTGTTTTGGAATTTGATACAGTTCCAGAAAACTTAAAAAATAGTAGCAGATCCAAAAGTCTTGGTACCCGAGATACTTACATTAAAACACAATGCTCCCTCAGCCTTCATGTAGCAGAAGCTTGACAGTTAGCAGTTGTCACCAACTGTATTGGTTTAGAAACATCTTAGTTTCTGACTTAAGTATTTAAGATCTTGATGTTGCTTTGAGGGTAAATCTTTAGTATCTACCTGTTTATGCTCTAATCAGAAGAGGAAATGACTCCTTTCTCTCCCTAAAACAAAACAAATAAGGTAGTTTCACTGCTTCTTTTTGTCCCTTAAAGCAGAAGTCCCCACAGCGGGAGTTTAGTTATTGGGTTGATTTTCACAAAAAGTTTGGTTTGATTGTTGCGGTTCTTCAAAGTAGCTGCTGGAGAACAGTGCAAGGTTTGCACAGACAAATGGATGAAGACCATTATCCACCCAATTCAGATGATAATTACTCATACGAATATTCTTTTAATGAAAGCAATATCTGCGAAATGGGTGACTATTTTGTATTTTACACCCATCTCACTACTGTCCTCTACACTCTGGCATTTTTGCTCAGCCTGCTAGGAAACACTTTAGTGTTATGGATCCTATTCAAATATGAAAACCTTACATCTTTAACGAACGTCTTCATCATGAATCTCTGTGTCTCAGATTTAGTCTTCTCCTGCATGCTGCCCATCTGGGCAGTGGACCAGTCCTTTGGGTGGATTTTTGGTGAGTTCCTTTGCAAAGCAATGAATGCTATTTTCTCCATCGGGTACTACAGCGGTGTTTTCTTTTTGACTCTCATGACTATCCTGCGGTACTTGTCCATAGTGAACCCCCTTTCGACTTTGAGATCCCAGACTCAGTGCTGTGGTTTTCTGGTGAGCTTGGTTGTTTGGACTGGTAGCATATTAATCGTGGTTCCTGAGGTGATTCACACCACAGTGCAAGAAAACTTGGAAGGGGACAAGACCTGTGATTATGCTGACTGGAAATGGAAAAAGGTGGACATTTATCAGAGGAATGTACTCTTCCTGTTTTCCTTTGGGGTGATCGTATTCTGCTACTTCAAGATACTGCTAATCCTGCTTGGAGCAAGATCTCGCAGAAAGCACAGAACTGTGAAACTCATCCTTATTATTGTGATGGCTTTTTTCCTGAGCTGGGCACCTTACAACATCCTCAGCTTTATGATTACTTTTCCACCACCTACCTGTCAGTATCAAAAAGACTCCAACCTTGCCTTTCACATCAGCCGTAAAATTGCTTTCTCCCACTGCTGCCTCAACCCTGTGCTCTATGTATTTGTTGGAGTCAAGTTCAAGAGGCATTTGTTACGCTTATGCAGTCAGTATTTACCCTGTGGCAATGGTCAAGTCTCCAGTCCCAGGATCTGCTCTCAAGGCAAATTCCACTATGAAGGTGCATCCATCTACTGAAGCGAGACCTAACTATTAGCACTAATCCTGGATGAACTTTCCCATTTTAAAAGCCATGGATAATCTCTAATTCTTAGAGGCACTTCCCTGAGAAAGACACACAAATTTACTCTTTGCAAACATGCTGTCTATGGAAAGTAATAAAAACATGTATTTGCAGTGGGACGGAGAGCTGAGACTGCTCAGAAATTACTTCATTGGCCTGTAAGTCTTATCTTTATGAGGTTTTGTGCAGTGAGATGGATTTTCTCTTATTTATAGTTTCTTTTCAAAAGCAAAAAAAAAGGTGCTTTTTCCTTTGGGAGCTAAACCATCACATTTTAATGTAAATGGTATTGCATGTTGCTTTCTTGCCTGACTTAAAATACTCGGATTGTATATAGCAATGGACACATATGTATTTCTGTAGCTTTTAATGCTTTACAGTGTTTATCAGTGCCAAACTCATTGGTTCTCTCTTTTTGGGGCTCTCAGGATTAACTGTCTTGACAATAGCTACAAGACCTCACAGTCTATGAAGTTCTCAGTGCAAATGTTCTTTTATCTGTTGGTAGATAAATATATATAAAACTAGCTTAGTGCAAAAGTAGTCTTTTGGGTCTGAAATTGAAAGTTTGGGAGAGCCCTAGAAGGAACACAAGCTGTTAAGCAGATACTTCACTAGGATATTAGTTTTTCTCCTGTTACTGCTCCTGCTGCAGGCACCTTCCAGTCTCTGAACATCCCTTCAGGCGGTTGCAGTGGATTGGCAGCCCATCTCCCGAGCAACGCAGGAGTCTATTTGCGTCTAAATGCTCTCTCCCTCCTTTTCTCCTTTTGCCATGGTGCTGAGAAGAATTGAGCTTTCTAAAAAGGTTATAGTGCAAGAACAAATGGCTTTTTTTAATAGCAGGATAAAAATAGCTTGCTTTATTTGTAAAATTAATGTTTGGCCTTTTTTTTTTCTTTTTAAGGAAGCCAGAGCAGCAGGTTTTATCCTATATACTTGGATGCTTGCTGCTTCACAACTTTTTAAAAACTGCTTCACACAGATGTTTAAGTCTCTGCCTAAAACCTGATCATCAAAGTCAGCCATGTGTTTATTTTTTACGTGCTTCGCTTCTGTCTAAATACCAGATGTGCTCATATCCCTTAGGCGTGCGAGCATCTGGTCTAACCAGCTGCCTGGCCACACGCAAGTCTTTCATTTCATGCATGCATCTCATCTCCATGGGCAGGTGGGAAGGAAAGTGCAAATATTTGCATGAACCTAGCTTTGGAAATGTTGCTAAGAGGGCTAGCCGTGTTAAGTGCAGGAGTGTTTTTACATGACCACTAAAACATGATTTCCCAACTAAAAGCAAGTTGAGGGAATGCAATTCAACAGCACACATTTTTGCAACAAAACCATTCGCATTCTGATTACACCAATCAAACCTGGTGGCTTTATTTCTCACGGAAAGTGATATTCTTCTTCATGATAGCTTGGTGGGCTTTTTTAACTTGGGCAGTGTAACATGTAGTGCGTACTCCAGTGTAGCTGAATGACAAAGCCTCTGGAAACCAGGATATTTAATTTCCTAGCATCTGTATAGTAAGGCAAGGTAGCTTTGCAGTGGCACCAAGAAATGGTTTGGCAATGGTTCTAAGCAACAGTTTGGCTTTTTGGGCAGCCATCTTAAAATGTCTGTGTTGTTTCTGCACTATTTCGTTTGATCTCTAAAGATCATCTGGAGCAGACAACAGATTCTTCTCAGCTGCTGTGTAGTTTATAAAAAGCAGAAACTCAGACATGCCCATAGTTTGAAGTCCTATTTCTGATCGTATCCAGAAGCAAGAATACCTAGGGAAAAACATAAGACTGGGGCAAACACATATGACATATCCAAATAGTCTTCCTAGGGCTTGCCCATAGTTTCTAGCTTGTGCTTCAGTTTAGCTGCCAGAACAAAGTGATCATATCTTGTCCCTTATCATCAGATGCTCCTTTCTGAACAAGTCAGTCCTGGTATCCTATTACTACAGTTATTGCCTAAAACTTAAAAAAATCATCAAGGTTATTTATTAATCCCAGAGGGAACTCACTTGTGTTCAGACAAACCTTGGAAAGGTAGAAGTTGTCATTTGTCTGGTTGTGGAGACCAGCTTTTGGGTCTTGTCTCCTGATAAGAGACATTTTAAATGAATGTGGTTGCTTTTATGCGCTTCAAGACACTTTGGACTGGGGACTCAATACCATCAATTATGAAGAGGCAACCTACTGAAGGACAAATGAGTCCAAATTCTTCTTCTGTTCTGGTAAGCCAGGACCACTTCATGGGCACCAGCAAATCTCTACAAGAGGAAAATGCTGTGACGATGAGTAAAAGAAGGTCTCATGCACATCATTTCAACGAACTGTGATTCAACTCATTGTCCTACACTACCCTGAAATCTTTGCTGTCCATACATTTTACATTTATCTAAAAAAAGCCAGGAAATATAACAAAAGTGCAAGAGATCGAAATGGTCCTGCTCTGCCCAGTTTTTAACAAGTTATTTATATCTGTTTGTAGCTTGAGCATATTTTGTTATAGTATATCTGAACATGTAAAGGGAATGCTTAATGTTACCCAGTTGTACTGCTGCCTACCATAACCAAAGTAATTCAGCATGTGGAGATTTCGCCTCCTGATATAATGAAGTGGTACTAATAAACACTCAGAAATTCAGTGGAATAGTACACTGTGACTATTGTTCTCCGCCTTTGATAACCACCTTTTAAGGTGTTTTCAATTGAAGAAGTAATTGTGAATTTTCATACACTAATTTAGCTTGGAAGAGACTTCTGGAGGTCATCCACTCCTCCACCCTGCTCACAGAAGTTCTATCTTCCCAATTCAACAAGGTTGCTCAAGGCCTTGTCTTGTCAAACTCTGAAAATCTCCAAGAACAGGGACTGCATAACTCCTTTGGGTCCCTGTTCCAAAACTTGACAACTCTCCTGGTGGCTTTTTTTCCTTCCACGTGGACAAAATTTCTTTTGCTGCAACCTGGTGATGATGCCTCTTCCCTGCCTTATCTACGTCCTTGTATGACATAATGGAATAGACCCATCAGATCTCCCCTACGCCTTGTTTTTTTCCTGGGGCTAAGCAAACCCCAGCCAATCTAATCTCCTCATATGTCATGTGCTCCAACTCCCTAACTATCTTGGTGGTCCTCCATTGGGCTCACTTCAGTCAGTCAACCTGTCTCTTGTATTGGGGGCCCCAAAACTGGATATGCTACTGCAGATGTGACCACATGAATTTCAGGTAGAGGGGAATAAAGGTTTCCTTCAACCTGATGGCAATGCAGGCTCACACACAGTTAGTCTTCACTGCTGCAAGGGCACATGACTGAGTTGTGTTCAACTTGTTGTCCACTTGAATCCCCAGATCTTTTCCAGCAAAGCTGACCTCCAGCCAGGTGGCCCCAGCCCACACTCTTGCAGGGGGTTAGACCATCCCAGGTGCAGGACTTTGCCATTGTTGAACTTCCATGGCTCCTGTCAGCTCATTCTTCAAGCTTGCTGATGTCTCCTTGCATGGCAGCCCAACTCAATGTGTATCAGCTGCTCCCTCTTATTTGGTTTTATGCATGAGCTTGCTGAAGGTGCACCCTGTCCCATCATCCAGGTTGATAATGAAGATGTTGAAGAGTATCAGCCCAAGTATTGACCTTCAAAGCATGCTACTCACAACCAGCCACTCATTAAGATGTCAAACCCTTGACCACTACCCTGATGGTCTGGTCAGTTTTTCATCCACTTTGTAGCCCACCCATTCAATCTATATCTCCCCAGTCTAGTTACAAGGATGCTGCGGGGGACTTTGTCAAAGGCCTTGCAGAAGTAAAGGTAAATGATACACACAGCTTTCCCCTTGTCCCCAGAGCCAGTCATCTCATTGTAGAAGACAGTCGAGTTGGTCAGGCACTATTTTTTCTTGGTAAATCTGTGCTGGCTGTTCCCAAACATTTTTGTCCCTGCATCTGTCTGGTAATGGCCTCCAGGAGGATTTGCTCCACCATCTTCCAGGGCACAGGGGTGAGAATGACCTGCCTATAGTTCCCTGGACTGTCCTTCTTGCCTTTTTTTGAAAATGGGCATGACCTTTGCCTTTTTCAAATCATCAGGGACCTCCCCTGACCACCAGGGCCTTTAGAGGCAATAGACAGCACCTTGCAATGATATTGGGCGATGCCCTCAGCACGATCACATGCACCATGCCCAGTCCCGCAGACAACTATATGTCCAGTCTCCTTAAGTAGTCCCAAAGCAACTCTCCTCTGCCATGGATAGTACCCTACCCCTCTCTCCAAACTCTGCTACTAGGCACAGAGACCTGTAAGGCAGGGGTTTGGAGTAGAGACCTCCAGAGGTCCCTTCAAACTTAAACTACTCTATTATTTTTATGATTTGTAGCTGAAGCAACATTAAACCAAGTAAATGCTGCTGAAAGATTGTTTTAGTGCAGAATTCAGCCTGAAGAACATAGTCCTCTAAGAGAACTGAACACAAAATTCAAAACTGAAAAGCTAGGTTTTGATGTGCAAAATCTTCACTGACCTGTGCAATGAACACGTAATGGAAGTGATTCCTAGATGAGATTATGCCTGTTAAAGGATGGCAATACTTAAAAAGGTCTCATTTTGCTTTTCTAAGTAGGTATAGAAATGGCAAGGAATACAGTTCCTGGAATGATTCATTAATGGAGATGTAAACCAGAAATTCCTGCCACATAGGGAGCCAGCATGTTTTACTGCAAGGGTTCAATAGGTACCGTACACAAGGGAGAGGGTTGAAAGGAAGCCAGCCCCTTCTGACAGATTGTGGGCATTTTCAAATAGAAGTTTTAGGCTCTGTAAATGTTCAACATATATGCATCTTCAGTTTTAAATCAGAAGCGCAGTGTAGACAGAAGATCCTGGCTGGACTGAAGCAAAGAACTGACAATGACAAAGGAAAATGCACAGAGTGGAGTACTCTCTCCATATTC